GGCATGTGTCTTGATATTGTGAAGGGTAAAAGGAACAAACTGCGGTAGTAATTCCGTTTTGGATGTATGGTTGGACCCATCCTAAATGCTTACTTAGTCACTTAATTACTTGGTCGAAAAAAAGCCCAAGACACAAATAACTAACAAAAGCACTAATGCTCACGCTCAGTACACATCCTTCAGCTGGTTTGAAGAAATTGCTTGGCTCAATCCCTCTCTACAAAACGATAATAGAACAGCAATTGAAACCTCCTCAAGATGACATGGACAAAATATATTAATATATATCAAACCCCTAACTAAATTGGAACCTAACGGGGGAGACTGAAAAAAATTCACTGCCAAGGAAGAAGCAATTGTTAGTTGTATTCAGTTCAATCTGAACAGTTAATACGCAAATCATCTCTACAATGAACCAATGGGGGGGGGGGGCTACGGCTAAGGCGTTAAGACGGCGCTCATCGCTGTAAGGCAAAGATCCCGGGTTCAAACCAGCAGACCTACATTTGGGCTTTTTTCAAAAAAGACCAGCACCCCGAGGGTTGATATGACCTCTGCTGTTGGGAACCATCCTATTTAAAAAATTTAAATTTACAGCAGCAGTGCAACCAAAAAAATCAGATACACTTCCTAGAATAAAAGTGAAAGGTCATACCAACTGAGAACTTTTGAGTAGTGAATATAAAGTAATATGTAGTTAAAAACAATCTAACAATCAAACCTTTACTACCAATAGGAACGTTCCGTGCAGATCCAATGAACATCTGAAATATAAAAAAATATTTTACAGAAAATCAGAGAAAACCCGAAGGCACCAACGGTCAGACAGCAGTATAAAAATTCATCTCAGAGTAAAGTAGTTTAGGATCTATGATACAATCGTGAAAGAAGTACAGATTGACCCGGTTTTGTCAAAAGATTAAATCCCTTGAAAAATCAGGACTCACCGGTGTACTCGAAGGACAATCAATCTATAAATAATCTAGATCAGAACTGATTTTTTCCACGTGAGTCAACGAAACACAAAAAATTTGTAGACTCACGTGCGTTAAACTATTTCACGTAAATCAAAGAAATTAACACTAGGCCAGAAAACACCGTTGCGTTAAAGGAGTTCCAATTTGAAAAGTAAGCAATTCGAATTACGAACCGTTAATCAATAGCTCGTTTTTACGAGTTTTTTTTTACTGTCTATCTAATAGCTTTTTAAAGTTTGTCCTGATTGAAATTCAAGGAGGGTCGGTCAAATTGTCATTCTAAAAAAGGATCTACCAAGGGAGTGTTTGCGGTTTATCGGCTAAGTGAATTCTTTGGTCCTGGATCAGGAAATTAACTTCCCCTCAGTATAAGTTAATGATCACTGGTTTATTGTTTAAATTTATATAATGATCTTTACTTTATTCAACAGAAAGGTACCAACCAAGTGGAGATATATATATATATATATATATATATATATACCGTGTTTCATTTTTCAGCAAAAAATACCTGTTACAGATTCATTGATACAGCAATGTATGTACAGGTTTCATTTTTCAACGAAACTTAAAAAAGCGAGACATGTTAACAATAATTACGTTCTGTAGCAATATGTACTTGTACTATGCATGTTACTTTATTATTAATTTTGTATCTTTGGTCGGAACAACTCTATAACTTACGTTTATCCTGATATGAATATTATTATTATTTACAAAAATTTACAGAATTTAGGGGTTTTGCACAAATGTGACGACGATAATTTATACTGTGCCATATTGAGTGGAATCTTATCTAGGTGTCCGTATGTTTCACTTAGTACTTTTTAGTTTATTAATCCTTATTTGTACATATTTATATACATATGTGAAATAATCCAAAAGTATATAATATATATTATATACTCTGTGCGTGCGTGTGTGTGTGTGTGTGTGTGTGTGTGTGTGTGTGTGTGTGTGTGTGTGTGTGTGTGTGTGTGTGTGTGTGTGTGAATATAACGAGGTGAACTTCATCACCTCGTCGGTAAAAACCATCCACTGATGGAAGCGACTCAACATGATCATAATGCCTATCTGGCAATACGGTCGGTTATCATCAACTGATTTAAGAACTAGAAATGTGCAAACCATTCAGAACCGTGTCCTCCGGTTAATAACAAATGCTCCTTGGCATGTTCAGAACTATCCACAAAGGACTGAACATTCCTAATCTTAAAACAGTGATCAAGGGCACCTACATTCAGTGTTTTTGAAAAAAAAAAAAGCCCATTTATAAGTATGTCGGGCTCGAATGCAGGGCCACTGGATTCGAACCCGGGACCTTTACCTTACAGTGATGAACGCCGTGTCAATGCCTAAACCGTTGCGGCCACCGACGCCCCTAAATAATGTTTGTATGTACATATACAGGGTGAGTCTTTTTTGACGCACCATTGGAAAATCAATGTGGGTGCGTTTAAATCTGACTCAAGGCTTATTTCCTTTGATTAATACGTTTAACATTAAAAAAAGGAAGTGAGTCAATTTTCGGTGCACCATTGGAAAATCAATGTGGGTGCGTTTAAATCTGACTCAAGGCCTATTTCTTTTGATTTTAACATTAAAAAAAGGAAGTGAGTCAATTTTCGGTGCACCATAGGAAAATCAACGTTGATGCGTCAAATTATGACTCGGCACATTTTATTTTGTTAGTCTCCTACCAAAAATAGTCACTTTTCGACGCACCATTCGTTACAAATTAGTTTTAGTAGGTTGGAAGGAAAATAAACAAAACCAATATTATTAAAACATTATTCACACAATGTAAAAATTAAAAGAAAAATCTGCACAAATTAATTTGATTAAGGTTTAAGAGTATTTTTTTCTGGTAAAGTAAAAAAATTAAATAATTAAATAAATGTAACAATCTTCTTTTTTCTGGTAAAGTAAAAAAATTAAATAAATGTAACAATCTTTTTTTTCTGGTAAAGTAAAAAAATTAAATAAATGTAACAATTTCATTTTTTCTGGTAAAGTAAAAAAAAATTAAATAAATGTAACAATCTTCTTTTTTCTGGTAAAGTAAAAAAATTAAATAAATGTAACCATCTCCTTTGTTAGCAAACCAAAAATGTTCAAAATCTTTATAATAATTGTTCGAACAGATTTTATTATAATATATATAATATATAATATAACAATTTGCTGAAACACAGTAGCCTAGTCTATCGTAAAACGATGATCGGACGAAAAAGATACTCTTAAACCTTAATCAAATTAATTTGTGAAGAATGTTTTTTTAATTTTTACATTGTTTGTACAATGTTTTAATAATATTGGTTTTGTTCATTTTCCTTCCAACCTACTAAAACTAATTTGTAACGAATGGTGTGTCGAAAAGTGACTATTTTTGGTAGGAGACTAACAAAATAAAATGTGCCGAGTCATAATTAGACGCATCAACGTTGATTTTCCTATGGTGCACCGAAAATTGACTCACTTCCTTTTTTTAATGTTAAAATCAAAAGAAATAGGCCTTGAGTCAGATTTAAACGCACCCACATTGATTTTCCAATGGTGCACCGAAAATTGACTCACTTCCTTTTTTTAATGTTAAAATCAAAGTAAATAAGCCTCGAGTCAGATTTAAACGCACCCACGTTGATTTTCCAATGGTACGTCAAAAAATGACTCACCCTATACGTGAGGAACGCCCCTGGACGTTTGAGTTCACGAGTATTTCAAGTCATATTTTATATTCAGCATACGATCACAACTGTAATGTGCTTTGTTCAATGAAGTTTAAAAGGACGGAAAAAAGGATTAAGCGTGCGATACCTGCGTGCCCTCCTGAAAAGTTTTTGCCTTAAAAAAAGGTAAAATTATCGTAACAAATATTTTTTCAAATGGAAATTTAATATATTTTTACTTTTTGTTTACGACTATTCTAGAGTGAATTACTTTTATGGACAGACGGCAATGTACGCGACTGGTATGGAGGAGTTCCATCATAGAGGGGTTTAAAACGAACACAAATCTTTTTTGCCGGTGATATTTTTGGAAATTCCCTTTCATCAAAAATGAATATTCAGTTTAGCGAAAGTAAAGCGTAGTGATGTAGCTTCATAGTTTCTGATCATTTTGTCGACGAATCTTCCTTGTTTTACGAGTAAACCTCGATTCAAAATGGAGAAAGTCCAAGACCCGTCTGCAAACCAAAACAGCGAGGACAGGCAGACCAAAATGATCGAAAACGAACTCGGTACAATTGTAATATCGTTTACTAATTTTAAAGATATAACAGCTAATGTGTGAATATTTAGTATTAGTATTATTAGTTTAGTATTAGTTTAAACAAGCTGCAAAATGAAGAAATATAGTAAAAAATGTAAAATTCACATCACACTTTTTGTTGTGCGGATAAAATAGAAATATCTCACAAAACTGTTTTTCCGAGAAAAAAAAGTTGTACAAATCTTCACTGCAAAGTGTATTTTCATTGTTGATTTTGTACAGTTGTACACGGTGTTTAAACTTTCCTTTTATCCAAAACAATAAATATTATTATACTTGAAGAGGGAACAAGGATTGTACTTAATACAACGAATCACTTCAATCACAACATTCACGAAGATCATCCCGGCTAAGTCACCATTTACGTTAGAAAATGTGTTACGACCCTGATGAGAAGGATGATTTCGGCGGCCGTAGGAAATTATTTTAAGAAAGACTTCCCTTTCTCAAAACGGTTAACAATTTTTCCTCCGGTCACTATGAATACACCAAAGTTTAAAATACCAAGAATAATCGGGCTGTAGAAGACTAAACCTTCCCGGTTATTAAGTAGTTTATGAGAAAATCTGACCGCAGCTGTATTAAAGGAATTTGTGACTATAAAAAAACGGGTCGAAGGGAGATTATTTAACTTGGGCATTTTATTGTCATTTTAATAGCAAATCCATGGTCCTGTTTTTGATTTGTACTAAAGCAATCAGCAAAATTGATTTTTTTTCTTGCATAAAAATATTCGCTTATTTGTCGTAGATGTCGGAGGGTGACGATCACTCGGACGACGTCTCTTTGGAGGGCAGGGGGACAATGAAAAAATGGTGCGGCCTGAAGCCCGACCCGGCCGAGAAGCGGTGGAGAAGGTGCTACCTTCTGCAGATGCTCGTGCTTCCGTTCATTCCAATCGCAGCCGTCATACTACAGACTGCTATCAGTTTTAGGCATATCTTACATTACAGAGTCAGCGTGGCGGAAGTCGATTCTCAGGTATGTTGTCATAGTCAATGTACACAGGGTGTCTCATATGGAAGAAGGTCTACGATGTTCTATATTGAGTTTGATTAAAATATTTGATTAATCATTGATCAATTGTCGGATTTGAAATTTTATTTTCAGGACTTTTTCAAACAAAAATTGTCTTCTTCTAGCTCCCCAATTTTTAGATTCACTCAGAAGATTAGCACAGTCCTCATTAACGATAGTTTATAAAGAACTCCAAATTTATAGTAACAAAATATTATTTTATTGATTTTTTTTACATATGTAGTTTAGAAGTAATGTCTTATTTAAATTATTAATATGTACAGTAACTCCAGTAAATCACTCGAAAGGTTGAGCCTTTGCCTAAAGGGTTGTAAAGCGGGACAGTCGACCAAAATATGTTTTACTGTCAAAATGATGCGTTCTCCACTTCGCATACATCGAGGACAAGTTGGAAGGTTGTTGCCCATTAAAAGCCTATTATGGATTAGCCTGATGTGACCTATTCGCAGTCTAGAGAGAATCACAAGTTCTTTTCTCTCAAGTTCCTCAGTTGGCCATTTATGTACACCTGGCTTAATTTCTTTCATACTATCTCTACAGACATTCCATCTTGCCGCCCACNTATATATATCCATATGTCCAAGCTAATTCGCCTACCCCTTCATGTAAGGTTGGTTTATTTTTTCGACCTCAATTGGTCATAAGTCGAATTCAAATTCTTAATTTTAAATGAGAACCCACATTTTCATCACATTTTTTTTAAACTAGATTTTTTGGCGAGAAAAATGAGTTATTAAAATCGATCCAATAGAACCGGATTTTTTTTTTAAATAGCCGGAATGCTGTTCTAGTGCGTTAGGTCGAAACCACTTTATTTTGCCTTCTACTGCAAATATTTTGAAGAGGTGTGGAAAATCAGCCAAATCAGAGAGAAAAGTCTGAAAGTTTACTAAATTTGCTGCCAAATCTTATAAATTTCGTATTTTGGATCGTTTTTTCTCCTCGACCAATACCTGCTCTTCACACGGGACTGAGGATTGGCCAAACGCGGTTTACACATGGGCACCTGCTTTTGGGCCAAAGCCCGGGCGGGTGCCCCTTATGCAGAGAAAGATTGCTCGATGTGTCCCACATACTGGAAACATGTCATGCCTTGGCTCCCTACAGGGAGCGTGTAGGCTACCATCCAATCTGAAGATGGTACTCGAGCATTGCAGCGAGTTTCAGAGTCCCCTGTTCCGCTTTTTGGGGGAAATTGTTTTTTTATTGTATATAATATGTCCTATGTGTTGTGTGTCTATATGTTTTGTCTGAGTGCATGTATTTATTAGCGTGAATGGCGAGCGGTGAGGGTGAAATATAACGTCATCATCGCCCCTCGAACGTTGAGAGCGTATGAGTGTGTGTTCGTGGTCGATGGCGGAATATTTATAAAAGTACTCCATGGACCCCAATCTACATTAGTTTGAGGATAGGTCGGTGGAGGAATATCAAGTACTCCACCGACCAAACGGAATGAGTGTATTGTATGAATGTATTTACTTGTATGGATGTAGTGTTTGAAAGTGTAAATAGAATATAGACTTAGTTGGGGGCTGAAATGACATAGATTTCGGAAGTCCCAGTCAAAAAAAAACCTGCTCTTCCAAGACTCATTCACCGAAATACTTGGTTGCAGTTCAAATCCCATCTCGTTTCTCAACCGGGGTTGAGACCAGCCACAGCGGAGTTTACAATTAATCATAACTATTGCTATCTGGGAATAAAAAGGTTAAATAGCAAATCAAAGGAATGTAGGAGCTAACGCTGTTTATTTTTCGTTTCCTGACTCTTGTTGGGACAAGTCCTTTCTTATCTGAGTGACACTCAGCGATGAAAATGTTATGAATGCATAATTGTGTGGAATTAGTTGAGTTGTTTGCTCTCGTTTGTTCGCCATGCCTACGACAGGTGTTCTCTCGTCAACAGAAAATTCATATGGTTGAAATTTTCATTGAGTGCGGTCGTAGTTTTACAAGAGCTTTGCAACAATATCGCGACCGTTTTCCACAGCACAATACACCAGGTATTCGTATGCTTACGCGCATCATCAATCGGTTTCAGCAAACAGGCAACCTCAATACACCCGGCCCGCGTATAAGGATTCGCCATGTAATAAATTACAATATAGCTTCCAGACTTTTCTCTCTATTTTGGCTGATTTTCCACACCTCTTCAAAATATTTGCGGTAGAAGGCAAAATAAAGTGGTTTTAACCTAACGCACTAGAACAGCATTCCGGCGATTTTCAAAAAATCATACGGTTCTATTTTTTAACCGATTTTAATAACTCAGTGCTCATTCTTCTCGCCAAAAAATCTAGTTTCAAAGGAAGATGTGAAAAATGGGGGTTTTCGTTTAAAATCAAGAATTTGAATTCGACTTATGTCGAATCGAGGTCGAAAAAAATAAATCGAACTTACATGAAAAATGAAGGGGAGTCACAATTCATACTTTTTTTCCAATCTAGAACCGCAAAGAAAAAAATGGGGTGGACGCATTAGCTTGGATACCTCGTATACAACATTTGATAACTTCAACTTTTCCTTGAGTTATGTAAAGATTATTCCAAAATCGTGAGATGTGGTTTGGTATGATGTAGGTTTCAGAAAAACATTTTCTTTATCGTGCCAACGTTTCGATCTTTATTGAGATCATCTTCAGAGCCTGGGATTTACAAACAATGTGTAAATTTAAGAAATACATGTAGTATGTATCTACAGTACAAATACTTTGAATATAAAAAATATTTTTTGCATTGTATAAATTCACTTTTTTCCTCATCCTACATGTATTTGTTAAATTTACCTTTGCCAAAAGGAAAGCGAAATTGTTGAAAAATTAGACTATGTAAAAATGTTTGATGTGTGGAATGTGATGAATGTTATGGAATATGGTATATTGTATGTTTTGTGTGATGTGATGATGGTATATGAATGTTATCTATATTGAATTTGATTAATGATATTGGCGTAGCTGCGACTGAGTTTACATGTGTCTGTACTGTCATTGATGCTGATATTTTAGAAATGGTTTACATCAACAGTGATAAACACAGCATCAATTACAGAACCGACACATTTAAACTCAATCGTCGGCTCTTTTCACCTCAAAGAAGCCGACTTATACAAAAATGTTTTTCTATACCGAATTCCTTCCCAACCCCTTCAAAACCCAACGTATATAAACATAAAACAGCAATATCTCACTGGCACTCTGAACACGACACGCGAGAATGGCATAATTACGCAGAAAACAAACACTTTGAGTGAGTAGAAATACTTTGATTGAATATAAAAAATATTTTTTTGCATTGTACAAATTCACTTTTTCCACACTTTACATGTTAAATTTAAACAATGTTTGTAAATCCCAGGTCCTGAAAATGACCCCAATAAAGATCGAAACGTTGGCACGATAAAGAAAATGTTTTTCTGAAACCTACATCACACCAGACCGCATCTCACGATTTCTGAATAACACCACACACGTTATGTAACGAGCTCATTTTATTCTTTGCAAGCTATGTTTGAATAACAATTGATGTAGGGTATGTATTTCTTTATCAAATATTTTAATTTTGGCAAAATCATTCACGCCTTAACGTATTATTCATATGTAGATCGTTTTTTTTTTATCATTTGTTAACTTCCCTCAATTAATGTCTAGCAATTATTAGCCTGTGAGTAGATGTTATTTCTTAAAATCGGGAAAGCTTGCTCTTTAACTTCACTCCAGAAACATGGGATGCTTAGGGACAAAACTCTGCATATCAAATTATTATCACAGTTCAGTTTTTGACCAAAAGAGTCAGAAGAGAAATAATTGAAATATCAGAGCTGGTTTCTTTTGTATACCACCTATACTTTGATGTGCCCTCTGGACTTCTGGTCACTTTCCACGTGTAGAATGTTAGAACTGAGTCGGTCTTCAAGGAAATTTGATATCACCTTTAAAAAATTAAATATATCAATCTGTAGATATATTTAAGGTGGTTTTGTAAGTTCTACATAGTTATATTGATTGTTAAATCAATTGTACAAATATTGGTTTTCATCATGTGAAATTAATATAGGTCCTTAAAATAGGTCGAAAGTTTGGCAGTAGCAAATACATTTGCTTTCTTCTTCAAGACCAAAAATGTGATCAATGAAAAACTGATTTAAAATAACCAAAAATCTCTTAGTCTTCTTATTTCCCTTCGATCTAATTTAATTAATTCATCCTGAACATTTAAAAATCCTAATTTATTATCAATTATAGTACTAAAAGAGAACGATGATGAGGAGGCACATAATCCATCCTGGGGAATAGGTTGGAGTGGAAAAATTTAATTAAAAGGAGACTTCTGCGCCCCGGATTCATAGATGTCCCTTTACTGCTCTTCCGACAAAATTATAAAAGAAATATGCTCCAGGGACGTTTATTGTATCTTGATATATCTGTACAAAAAGCAGAAACTGTCTCGTATGCCAGTTTAAATTATTAATTTTGTTTCTTTTCTTTCGTATTGAACATAACTTTTTTAGTTGTATTTAAGCGGCTTTCAACTTTCTAATGAATTACGTTATTCTTTAACGATAAAAAACTAATTTGAAGTTTTAAATACACTACCTCAGTTCATAAAATTTAGGATTAATGAGTTCCAAAAATTTGCAGGAAATTTGTTTGTTTATTAAAATCGTAAAAAGTGATCCAATCTCGTGTGAATTTTCAGAAAGGGTTGTAACTAAGTTCACGATCTATGTTTAAAAGTCAGAGGAGAAAAGGGTTTTTCCACAAACCAAGTACGAATGATTAAAAGAAGTTTCACGCTCTTCACACGCTCGATTGACTTTTGAAAGACCTTACTTTGTGCTTTAGGTTTTCTTCCACTTAACCACGGTGGTCCTTAAGTAATATAAAAGTTACTGAATAATCAGTATTGCACCTGTTTCTATAATAAATGTATGTTAGTAAAGGTA